ATATCACATGGCCGACAACCCCACAAACACACTTTTAGTGGCACAAAAACTACATAGGCCCCAAACGTGGCCAATTTTACTAGAGGACAAATTCAACTCTTCAATTTCACTGTCTTGTGCCCCTCATGTTAAAATTAATTTACTTTTGAGAGTAGGAGGGGCGAGGGTTTCAACTTTAAGGGGGAAAAAAAAAATGGTCCCCATACAATCTTTCCCACATTCCATCACAAGATATTCCTTTTCTGCTCGGGTGCCTACCTATGCTACTATTTCAAATCTAATTATAAAGATATATAAAGGGAAAAACACTTCACATATTACATAAAAAATGTTTTCTTATGTCGTAATTTTTTACTTTTGCCTACAATATTATTATTTATTTTTTTAAATATGGGATCCACCATTATTTGAATCATGATATAAAAAAACAATTCTAAAAAATTAAAACCTTTAAATCAAACTAACTAACTCATAAAAAACGGAGTGTTTGGGAAAAACTTTTAGGTAAAAAAAATATCATTTTAAATGATATAAGTTTGTGTCTTTTTAAATGATTTAAACAAAGTCTAATCGGTAAGATTTTGTATAAATTTGAAAAAATTACTTTTTTTTTTCTCTTTTCAGTTATATCGCTGAGTGTAAAGTGAAAAAAAAAACTTTTCAGATTTACACAAAATCTTATTGATAAGACTGTCATTAAAAGAACACAGCTCCTTTTTAACTTAACCCAAACTTTTATTATCTTTTCAACCTACTCTATTACCTGTGGTTCGTTTTCCTTTGCCAATTATGGCGAATTTGAGGTAGAGAGAATGGAAAGAATTGCACGAATCTTGAATTGCATGAATCTTTTATCTTCTCCTTCCCTTTCAGCTAAGTTGATATTTAAATATTCCTTATGCATAATAATCAGACTTAGATATGTGTACATAACATTGCCTCTTTAATAATTTTTTCCTATTCTTTTTAGGATTTTATAATTCTCATTCAACATGAAAATTAAAATTTTCCTACGTACCCTTCGATTTCCGTGCTGACATGTGTATTACATTTAATTTTTTTTAACACATGGATCTCACATGCTTTTTATCTCTACAACATAAGATTTCAATTTTCATTTCCGTCCTGACTTAAAGTTTCTCTATCACATAAAGGGATAAATGATAAAAAAAACTTTAAATCAAAGAGATAAATAATTCAAAATTTTAAAGAAGGGATAAATGATTACGAAGAAACTTACATGAGATTTTTAAAGTTTTTTATTATTATTGTTATTAGTAGTAGTATTATGAGTTATTTGGCTATGTAGCTTATGCTAATAAGTCAGGTTGTCTCTATTTGGAAAGGTATCTGTGCATTTAGTATTGAAAAATATTTAAAAAGTAGATGACATTATGAGACCCACATGCAAGAGAAGTTTTGGAGTATTAAAAATTACAAATTACAACAAAGTAACATGTATCTAAGCTTTTATTAAGGAGGCAAAGAAAGAAAGAAAAGAAAATAAAAAAATAAAAAAGACAACATCTATAATTTATCATTATTAAAAATGTTGGTGCATTGGCTTTGATTAGACATTCTTTGATCCAATTTTATTATTTCCCCTCCCCCTCCTCTCGCTGCGCCCCGTTTCTTTCTTTCTTTTTTTTTTTTGTTTTTTTTTTTGTTTTTTTTTTAAGCTTTGGTTCTATATCACTAATTGTTTGTGTTTGGACATAAAAGCAAAAGCTTGGTACAGTTGTTTACAACTCAATTAGAATAATATGTAATCAATATCTATCATTAATTAATTTGATTAGTATTGTAAGGTATAGGAGTTAGGTCACATTAATTAAAGTGTTGCACATGAAATTTACATTTAAATTTATATAAAAAGAGTGACGATGGGAATATTTAAAATAGAGAAATTGTTATATACCAAAGAAATAAAAATAAAATAGACAAATTGCTCTCTTTTTTTGTCTTTATTTAATAAATGAGAATGGAATGAAGCTTTCATTTGATCTTAACAGGTGGTGAGTTCTCAATTTAGTCCATAATAATTTACACAATCAATTATCAATATTTAATTTATTTTATATCAATATTAAGTTAGCTCGAACTACTTATTTATCGACTCGTTTAATATACATATTGCTGTAAACAAAGAGAATGGCTATTATTTTTCGTTTCTTGTTTTTTAATCTATGGATTTTTTTTACTTTTATTATTCATTTCCTATTTTTTGGATTAAAAAAAATAATAATTGTTGTTTAAAAATAGAAAATAATAATAATATAAAAATAAAAAAGAATAAAAATACTTTTGGTTTATCTTGTTTAAGTTTGATTTTGTATTTGTCATTTAAAGAATGTAACATTTATATATTATTGTAACGTTTTTATCTTTGGATGTATTTTATTTGAAATAAACAAGGAAAATAAATAAAAAGTAAAAGGAATAAAACAAATATTTTTGAAATCATTAAATTTTTATCGTTCTCTGATCATAATTAAAATCCTGACACTGATCTATATTTTTAAAAGATCCATTTATAAAATAAAAGGATTTTCAATTTTTTTAATTAAATAAAAATAGTGATGATTTTTTTTTAAATAATTTTCTTGTCCCTAATATATAATGATTATCCAAAAAATTCTTATATATTTGTACTCAAATTCATTCTTCTATTATAAGCAGATTTTGATAATGCACAAGATTCTGATTCAGGTTAAAAAATTAAGTAAATTAAGGAATATTAATTTGATTTTTGTTACGAATTATGTAAGTTCAGGAATGTCGACAGTGGAAAAATTGAAAAAATTTAATAATTTTTTTTAATTTTTAAAAATTAATTTAAAGAATTAAAAAATTTAGATGAAAGCATAATTTATAGAGGTGACAATTAAGATGGATAGAATTTAGCACAAATACGAGTATACTTAGCTTACGTAAAAGAATATGAATTCAAATTCGAGTTAAAACCTTAAATATAAATATGACTTACTTATTATATAAATAGACACGATGTAATACGACACGAATAATCATGTCAATTATGTTACTTATCATATGAGTTGATATGACATAGTATGAACAACATGTAAGAAGTTAATTTTGGGTTTGTGAATTAACATGCATTATGATACAAATTTTTTTGGATCAATTTTTATCAATACGAACACAATATAAATTTGAAAATGAGTGAATCTGAATATAAATTTTTCGAGCCATATCAACTAGTCATGTTAAAACTCTTACCCTCTGGAAATTTTCAATACATTCTCCTTCTGGAGATTATTTTTAGTACATCCGATATATTTACAGCTTCTATTAAAAATTTGACATTTGAATTAATTTTTTTTTCTTTTTCATATATATATCACAAAAAATATGTCATTTTGATTGATCCATCGTACCAAATTAATAGTATGATGGATGTATCGTAAATATTTCGCCCCTCTTGATTATAATAATAAACATAAATTAGAGAAAGTTGACCGTGGAACGCAACGAAGGAAAAGTACAATTGTACAACTAATTGAACCGAACGTCACGGGCAAAAATCTCTTTTGATTTTAATTGGTTTTGAAAATTGAAAAAAAAAAGAATTTTTTTGGCAAATAATAGTTGGTTTTTATGTTTTGTATCTTTTTGACATTATTTTTTTATTTGTTGTTGGTCTATAGTTGAACCAGGTCTCAAGACATTTTAAAATTTTATATTGTTTAAATGAGGATTTTGATTTTGACAACTCTAAGGTTTTGATGTATAAAATGAGCATTACTGCACTTCGGAATTTATTTCATTAACAATAAGTCAATAAGCAATGCGTGCATTGTCACAAAATGTCTATTTTAGGCAAAGGTTTCAGAGGAGATTATACTTATTAACCTTTTCATTGAAAAAAAATCAATGATTCAGTTAATGTCATTTTATTGTCATTAATTTAATTTTAATTCATAAAAGCAAACGATTTATAAAAACAAAGAGGCTATAAGTATAACCTGATAATTCCATAACATTCTATATTTAATTTGTCTAACTAACAAAAGTAGGGAACTGATCTAACCGATTGTTGGGAAAAGAAAACCTAAAAAAATAACTAAATTAACTGTTTGAACAGTGTGAATGTAACAAAAGGTTAGAATAGAATGGCTATTATGGATAATGGAGTTAATGGAAGGTAGAAGAATAGTTCAGTTCCACACTCCACAGTCCAAAGTTATAATACAAGCAAAGACATGGCAACTAATTAATTATTTAACTAATTAATGTTGATTATCTATCGAGGGCTTTTATGGAATTCAAAAAATAAAGGACGAGTCTTTTTGGTAATTCACATAGGAATAAGATCCGTGCCTTGTCGCCATGTCATTATCGCTCAGATTTGTGATTGCGATTTCAAGTTTTTCGTCATTTTTTTTCTCTCTCTCCTCTGTTCCTAAGTTTTTAACGTTGCCAGCACAGAAAAAGTAATAAAAAGAAACGGTTGAAGTGAGAAAGACCCAGTAGAGAAAAATGATTCGGATTGCATGATAGCGTTGCGGGTCAAGTGGGGAGTGTGGAAATTTCCAATCTTTCATATTCATATTCCAAAGTAGGAAATGGCAAAAGTAACTGGGTTACTTCAGTCTTGATCCACTCACTGTTATATATTCTTGAAGCCTTTTCAAACCAGTTCGTGTTCCTCCCTTCTCTGAAATATTGGGTTTCTTCTCAAGTTATTAGCTTGAATGCGAGTTCTTGAAAACAAATGCATATCAGTATAGTATTGTTGCAAAGAAGGTGAGACTTCAAAAGGGTTAGAGAGAGAGAGAGAGAGGGGGAGGTGTCATGACTTGACTTGTGTACCATTTATGTATATTTGTGTGCACATGTGAAGTAGTAGATGTAGAAGGTAGACAAGAGCGTATCTGGGAAAATCGTAAAAATTCGATTTAGTTTTGTTATGTACTTTAAATTCTACAAAGAAAACTAAACAACATAAAAGAAAAGTAACCACATAATAAAAGGGTATAAAAAACAAACCAGTACAGACAGTACAGAGAGAGAGAGAGATGAAGAGGAACCAAACTGGTTTCTATTGTTCATTGTACAGCCACCTTCTCTTTCCTGTACAGGTAAACATTGTTCCACTCAAGTCTCAACAACCCCCCCATTCATCTCTATATCTTTTTCATTGGGTTCTGTGCTTCGCTGTATGTGTATGGTGTTTTGGGGGTCAATCTCTGGTTTTTATTATTATATGCATCTCTGTCCTTAAGCAGAGACTAGTTTCACGCCTACTGAACATGATTAGAGTTCTCTTCATTTTTTTAATGTGATCTTCAACTCCCAAAAGCCTGTTAAAAAAACACTAAAATTTTGGCTGTTGGGAGAGGGGAAGGTGGTTCTTTGAAATTTGAGCTGTTTTCCATCTTTTGAGACCCATGCTTGTCTCTCACCTTTGTGAATTTTCTTCTTTTAAATTCTGGGTCTATTATCTGAGATGTCTTTTTTTTTTCTGTTTTTTTTTTGGGGGGTTAATTTTTGAAATGGGCTTTGATTATTAAGAGTGAAAAAGAAAAGAAAAGAAAAGAATTTGGCCAATCATTCATCATGCTTGGTTTGCTTTTGCTTCTCCTTTCCGAGGTTTGAATCACGCAAAACAATGCTGTAATGATGCTTTACTTGGAATTTTGTTCTCTAACCTTTTTTCTTACAAACATCAGAGAAAAGTGTCTGAGATTTTGTTAGTATTTTCAGCCTTAAACAAAGTGAGCTCCTATATAAGTATTTTTGGGACTTTTCCAACTTTTGTAGATATGAAGAGGGCAGAAAGGAAGCAAGGGAAAAAAGAAGCCCAGAAAAACTAGGCAGAGAGAATAAGATTGCTTATGGGTCTTGGTTTGAAGATGCAAAGCCACCACCCTGTGGCTCAGATGAGGTTGCATGAACAAACGGGGAGCAAAAGAAAATACACTTTCATTCAGGCACATAGAGCTTGGCTTCCAAAGTTTCTGCTGCTATGGATCTTGCTGATGGCTCTAATTGGTTGGTGCATCTACAGTAGAATGGATGCTGACACCAAAATCAGAAGGAAAGAGGTTCTGGGTAGCCTCTGTGATCAAAGGGCAAGAATGTTGCAAGATCAATTCAGTGTTAGTGTCAACCATGTCCATGCCCTTGCTATTCTTGTATCAACCTTCCATTACTACAGAAACCCTTCTGCCATTGACCAGGTTTGTGCTTGATCTTCCATTCCTGTTTGGATTTGGAACTAGTTAAGCCTATTGCATCGGTTTTCCCACTCTTATTGCATATATCTTGACTATTGTTCATTGTCTATCAGGAAACCTTTGCAGAATATACAGCCAGGACAGCATTTGAACGGCCATTACTGAGTGGGGTGGCATATGCACAAAGAGTGGTTAACTCGGAGAGAGAAATATTTGAGAAGCAACATGGATGGGTTATAAAGACAATGGAAAGAGAGCCTTCACTGGTTAGAGATGAGTATGCACCGGTTATATTTGCTCAAGAAACTCTCTCTCACCTTGAATCTCTTGATATGATGTCCGGGGAGGTAAATAACAACATTTGTGAACATTACTCTTTTCATATTGTGTATAATTTTCTTAACTGCAATTTCACATTTGCATGATGCAGGAGGACCGAGAGAACATTTTGAGGGCAAGGGCCACAGGGAAAGCCGTTCTGACTAGCCCTTTCAGGCTTTTGGGTTCTCATCATCTTGGTGTGGTTTTAACATTTCCTGTTTACAAATCTATGCTCCCTCCAAAGCCAACAACGGAAGAGCTCATTAAAGCAACAGCAGGGTATGTCCTCGTTTCTCTTCTTTTGGGCTTGTCAAGTTTGGTTTGAGAATCTTTTGGTGGTTTTTTTGTCTCATGGCTCATATAAGATATACGAGGATGAGCTTAGGTGCATTATTGCATAAATAATGCATTTTAAAAAAGCCCCAGTGGATAATTGCACGTCATTTTATCTAAAGTAAGGGAAATTCTAAGGAAGACTTGCTGGTAATATTCTCCTCAATGTTCAAGTCTCAACTAATGATCAAAAGATGTGACAGCCACTTCTGCTTCATTTCCATTAATTATGAGTCTAATGCTAATCAACGAAAGCTATTGTACTACATTTTAAAGGTTATCACATTCCCTGCAACCTGATTATTACTTTTATGCTACCAGTTTTTTTCCCGTCAATGCTACCTTCAGTATCATTGGCACAGCTACTATCAGTGAGTTTGAGGAAAACTGTTGCCATTATCAGCCTTGTGTATGGTTATATTTTGTCTTTGCGTAGGTTTAAATTATCAGATGCAATGGTAATCTGATTTTTATTCTTGTCCTGTCTCATATGTAGTATGAATTCCATAATTGCTTCTGTGGAAAACTTAAGAGGATGAGTCTGTTAACTTTGGTTCAATCTGGTGGCTTTATGTTTACCCTAACCTTCCTAATGGCATGGTGTATTAAATAAACTTTTAATTGGAAGCAGATATGTTGGAGGATCCTTTGATGTTGAGTCCCTCGTGGAGAATTTACTTGGTCAACTTGCTGGTAACCAAGCAATTTTGGTGAACGTATATGATGTCACAAACTCTACTAACCCCCTAATCATGTATGGCAACCAATATGAAGAAGGTGATATGTCTCTTGTCCATGAAAGTAAGCTTGATTTTGGAGATCCATACAGGAAACATAAAATGATATGTAGGTAGGTGCTTCTGGCTGTTGTACATTTTTTGAAGGGAGTTTCAATTTTTGTCAGCAGACACTTATCATCAAATTTTTGAACAGGTATCACCAGAAGGCACCAACAAATTGGATAGCACTTACCACAGCATTCCTATTCTTTGTGATTCTTTTATTAGTGGGTTACATTTTATATGGTGCTGGAAATCATATTGTCAAAGTAGAGGATGATTTCCATAAAATGGAGGTATTAAAAGTCCAAGCAGAAGCAGCTGATGTTGCCAAATCACAGGTACTTTTCCCGGCATATTGTTAGCACGGTTCTTTGATTGCTTACTGATTACTAAAACTGAAATTTTGTTTTTAATGTCAGTTTCTAGCTACTGTCTCTCATGAAATTAGAACACCCATGAATGGCATTCTAGGTAACTTCTAGATTCTCTCTCTCTCTCACCTTAAAAAGTAACATGTTTTCATACTTTCCACTTTCTCATTAGTGATGTTATCATTAAACTCCATATAACTATAGGAATGCTTGGTCTGCTTCTACATACTGAATTGAGTTCAACCCAACGAGATTATGCTCAGACTGCTCAAGCATGTGGGAAGGCTCTGATAGCATTAATAAATGAGGTTCTTGACCGAGCTAAAATTGAAGCTGGCAAGTTAGAACTGGAAGTAGTTCCATTTGACCTTCGTTCCATACTTGATGATGTCCTTTCTCTTTTTTCTGAGAAATCTAGACACAAAGGTTTAGAGGTATGTCTAATTGTTGCTAAACTTATCAAGTTGCAGAATTTCATGATTCTATTTCCTTTTCCTTAATTGGGGATCTTATTTCATTTTCCTCACTGTTTCACCTTTCTGGGTTCCTCTATCATGATGATGTTCCTACTGCGATCCCAATTACAACTCTTCCAACCTGGACTTGATATGGTTTTGGGAAGTTTAGCTGGCAGTTTTTGTTTCTGATAAAGTTCCAGGTATTGTTATGGGAGATCCTGGAAGATTCAGACAAATAGTAACAAATCTTGTTGGCAACTCTGTTAAAGTAAGTGAAATTTTCAAAGTTTATTCGTCTAATGTTATTTGCGTTTGCATTACTAGTATGCATGTTGTGTGAGCTGTATAATTTTTTTGTAAGTATGAGGGGAGGTTTCAATTCTTCAAGTTCGTTTTCTCTATTCTATCCAATAATTTATTTGCAAGGTACTTGTCGATAACATTACTGATTAACTTCAATATCTTGCAGTTCACTGAACGAGGACATATATTTGTTAAAGTCCATCTAGCTGAAAATATAAAGTCCACAGTGAATGGAAAATTTGAGACTTATCGTAATGGAGGATCGGATGAACATGTGCATATATCTGGTGGTTATAATAACAAAACCCTAAGTGGATGTGAAGCCGCTGATGAACGGAACAGCTGGGATAATTTTAAGCATCTAATTGCCGATGAAGAATTTTTCTTTGATGCTTCAATTGAAAAGGTGGCCTCTGGTGAATCTTATGAGCAAGTCACCTTGATGGTCTGTGTGGAGGACACTGGAATTGGAATTCCTTGCTCAGCCCAAGGTAGGATTTTCATGCCTTTTGTGCAAGCAGACAGCTCGACCTCTCGACACTATGGTGGTACTGGCATTGGCTTGAGTATCAGTAAGTGCTTGGTTGAACTAATGGGTGGTCAGATAAACTTCATAAGCCGACCCCAAGTTGGGAGCACATTTTCATTTACTGCAGATTTTGGATCTTATAAGAAAAATTCGGTAACTGATGTGAAGAAACTTAATTTGGAAGATCTGCCTTCAAGTTTTAGAGGACTTAAAGCCATAGTAGTTGATGGAAAACCTGTTAGAGCAGCTGTGACTAGATACCATTTGAAGAGACTGGGGATACAAGCTAAAGTTGCAAATAGCATAAATAAGGCTGTTTCTTTATGTGGGAAAAATGGTTCTTTGACCTCAGGGTAAGTTTTTCAATTTCCCTTTCTTGTGTCAATTATGAGAAAACTGAATGTTATAATAAACAAAAGCAGTATAAACATTTAGTAATTGTTGTAACTTATGCTTGCAGTATTGTTCTTAACCCCTTGAAACTGAATTCACCATATTCATTTTAGTGTATTTTCTGCAGTTTAATCAGGGAGTATGCCCAGCTAGCATCCTACCAGTTTTTTATGGTTATCTGTATATAGACATGTCTTACTAAAATACTGAGTTGCCATAGCCAAATGGATTTTTTTTTTTATTTTTTTTTTGTATTGGAGTGGGTTTTCAAAATGTTTTTATGTGATGTTTTTGGGAGAGTTATCTTCAATTGGATGTCAAACTATGCCTTTAAAAAGCTTTATGTTGATTTTTACTTGTTAAACACATTCTATTTCCCCATTGTGTATTCCTTGTATTATTCTTCTAACTCGGAGAGAAATTAAGAAACTGTGTTGGCTGATTTTTTTTTAATTACTTACAGATATTGACAGTGATTTTGTTGTGAATAAATGCTGTACTAAAGACTTATGTTTTTCTTTCTCACAGTTCTTTGATATGTGTTGTTGTACATAGTATAGAAGTCCCACATTGAGTGTGTCTCTTTGTATTCTTCAATTGGTTTGCTATATAATAGCACCAATGTTGTGTAGTTTAATATAACAAGGCTTACAATGAATACCTCTTGTCTCTTGGTGATTAACATGGTATCTAGAGCCTAACAAGAGGAATCCTAATCCGCGTTTTTTTTTTCGGTGGACCACTGTCTGCTGAGTAAAATAATTTTTTTTTTTTTTTCCCCGGCAACAGTCATATCTGTCAGTTTCCGGCTTCCGTATATCGTCTACGGACCTGTCTGATCACTGCCGCCATTAGGCACCACTGTCCACCGCCGTTGACCGCCGTCTCCGGCGACTTTTCCGGTGAGTTTTTCGGTGAAACCCATATCGATCTGATCGCCACGAGAAGGCGCTCCTTTCTGTCCAGGACCCATCCTCAGATCCTCCTCCACGCGCTCTCACGCGCGTCAAACAGCGGCTGCAACCCATTTTGTTGCAGCGGCGCGTCCCACTCCGGTTGGCCGTCGGACCACCACGGTTCCCTTCGTCTTCTCCTTGCGCACTTGGATCTGTCCTCACTTTGTTGTTTCGACTTCGTTTCGGCTTCCTACGGTGTCTTTTCCCTTGCTGGTCACTATTCACAGGCGGTTCTTTGCTTTTCGTTGCTGGTTCCATCGCTGGACTCTGTTTGGTCTACGTTGCTTCGCATTCCACCTAAGACTTCTATGGAGCCTGCAGTATCTGCTCCCTCTTCAATTGACCCATCTGCCCTTGTCTCCAAGGGTTTTGCACGTGGAAGCAAACCCTCTACGAGACGCTTTCTCTGCACTCATTGCAAAAAGTCGGGCCATACTATTGATCGTTGCTGGGATCTTCACGGTCGCCCTCCTCGCTCCGCTCATTTTGCTCAGACTACTGTTCCTGCCTCGGACTCTGCCTTGATTGCTGGATCACAGCCACCTCCTCGTACCACTGCCTCTAGTGCACACACGGGTAATTCCTTTGCTGGTGTTTCTCACTCGCCCTCTCATGGTCCATGGATTCTCGATTCTGGTGCATCTGACCATATTTCTGGTAATAAGTCTTTATTTACCTCTCTCTGTACGTCTGGTCTCCAGCCCAGTATCACTATGGCTAATGGGTCACTGGTTCAGTCCCAAGGGATTGGCACTGTTCTCCTTTTTCCTTCTATTCCCATTGAGAATGTGTTTTATGTTCCTCATTCTCCTTTCAACCTTATTTCCATTAGTCGCTTGACTCAATCCCTTGACTGTATTATTTCTTTCACTAAAGAGTCTGTCATTTTGCAGGATCGGAGCTCGAGGAGGACACTTGGCGTCGGATCTGAGTCCAATGGCCTTTATCAGCTTTCAACTTCTGTTCCAGTGTGCTCTGTTGTGGATTCTCCGCTTACTATCCACGCTCAGTTAGGTCATCCAAATCTTGCTAAGCTCCAGAAGATGGTCCCACGTTTCTCAAATTTATCTAGTTTGTCTTGTGAGTCGTGTCAGTTAGGGAAGCACACTCGTAGTTCGTTTCCCGATCGTGTCAGTCGTCGGTCTTCGTCTCCTTTTGCTTTAGTTCATTCAGATATTTGGGGTCCTAGTCGTACCGTTTCCACTATGGGGTACAAATATTTTGTCACTTTCATCGATGATTATTCTCGATGTACTTGGTTATTTTTAATCGGTCTGAATTGTTTTCTATTTTTAACAAGTTCTTTAATGAAATCCTTACTCAATTTGGTGTTTCGATTCGCATTTTTCGAAGTGACAATGCTCGTGAATATTTGTCTCATCAGTTTCAAACCTTCTTTGCATCTCACGGCATCCTTCACTAGACATCATGTTCACACACCCCTCAACAGAATGGGGTTGCTGAACGCAAGAACCGTCACCTAATTGAGACTACTCGGACACTTTTGTTACATGGTCATATCCCATTCCAGTATTGGGGCGATGCTGTCCTCACAGCTTGTTATCTCAATAATCGGATGCCTTCCTCCGTACTTCATAATCAGGTACCACATTCTGTGTTGTTTCCCCATCAACCTTTGTACCCACTCACTCCTCACATCTTTGGTTCTACTTGTTTTGTCCACAATCTCAGTCCTGGTCTTGACAAGTTATCTGCTAAGTCACATAAATGTATTTTCCTGGGTTACCCTCGCTCACAAAAGGGTTATCGTTGTTATTCTCCTAGTCTTCGTCGTTACTTTGTCTCGGCGGATGTTACATTCTTTGAGTCTATTCCATTCTTTGACTCCTCCTCCCATCCCAGTGATTCTGTTGCTACTCAGCTACCTTTACCACCTGTTTCAGTTCACTATATACCTTCACCATCTCCTTCTTTCGATGTCCCCGTCCTTGTTCCCGCCCCTGTTCCCCCCCTCCAGGTCTATCATCGTCGGCAACGTCCCCCTGTTCCCCAGGACCCTGCCCCCACCGAGTCTGCCCCTATTATTACTGAGGCTCCTGTGGACTCACTTCCGTCATCATCTCCTCCGGCAGCTCCGATCCTTCCGTCTGACATTGATGTGCCCATTGCACTCCGGAAAGGTACTCGTGATTCTCGTCCCCCTCCCAGGTATTTAATAAATTTGAGTTATCATCGTCTTTCACCATCCCATTTTGCTTGCCTCTCTTCTCTTTCTTCTGTATCTGTTCCTAAGACTACAGGTGAGGCGTTATCACATTCTGGTTGGCGACAGGCCATGATTGATGAGATGAGTGCACTTCAGAGTAATGGTACCTGGGATCTGGTTCCCCTTCCCTCTGGGAAGTCTGTTGTTGGCTGTCGATGGATATACACGGTTAAAGTTGGTCCGGATGGTCAGGTGGACCGTCTTAAGGCCCGCTTGGTGGCTAAAGGTTATACTCAGATATTTGGCCTTGACTATGGTGACACTTTTTCTCCCGTGGCGAAAATGACTTCTGTTCGCCTCTTTATTACTATGGCAGCCATTCATCACTGGCCTATGTATCAGCTGGACATAAAGAATGCTTTCCTCCATGGTGATCTGCGGGAAGAGGTTTATATAGAGCAACCTCCTGGGTTTGTTGCTCAGGGGGAGTCTAACCTAGTTTGTCGTCTCCGAAGATCCTTGTATGGTCTAAAGCAGTCTCCCCGGGCTTGGTTTGGAAGGTTTAGCACTGTTGTGCAGCAGTTTGGCATGACTCGAAGTGAGGCTGATCACTCAGTCTTTTACAGACACTCTGATTCAGGTTCTATTTATTTGGTAGTATATGTTGATGATATCGTCATTACAGGTAATGATACTCATGGCATAACTCAGATAAAACAACATTTGTGCCATCATTTTCAAACAAAGGACCTTGGAAGACTCCGATATTTCTTAGGGATAGAAGTGGCCCAATCCATAGATGGCATTGTACTATCACAGAGAAAATATGCTATGGATATTCTTGAGGAAACAACATTGTTAAATGCTAAGCCCGTTGATACTCCTATGGATCTAAATGTCAAGCTTTTACCAAATCAGGGGGAGCTATTTTCTGATCCAGAAAGGTATAGAAGATTGGTTGGGAAACTGAACTATCTCACAGTTACTCGACCAGACATTTCCTTTGCAGTCAGTGTAGCAAGTCAGTTCTTGAATTCTCCCTGTGAAGATCACTGGAATGCAGTAATCCGTATCCTCAAGTACATCAAGACTGCTCCTGGCAAAGGTCTTCTCTATGAAAACAAAGGTCATACCAGAGTTGTAGGATACTCAGATGCTGATTGGGCAGGTTCTCCTATTGATAGAAGATCCACTTCTGGGTATTGTGTATTCGTTGGAGATAACTTGATTTCCTGGAGAAGTAAGAAGCAAAGTGTAGTTGCTAGATCAAGTGCTGAAGCAGAATATCGCTCCATGGCCACAGCTACCTGTGAACTCATCTGGTTAAAATAGCTACTGAAGGAACTCAAGTTTGGAGACACTGGCCCAACATCTCTCATTTGTGATAATCAAGCTGCTTTGCATATTGCTTCAAATCCAGTGTTTCATGAAAGGACTAAGCACATTGAGATAGATTGTCATTTCCTTAGGGAAAAGGTTCTCTCAGGAGATATAGTCACTCGTTTTGTCAACTCAAATAATCAATTAGCTGATGTATTTACTAAGTCTTTGAGAGGACCTAGGATAGACCAGATATGTAACAAGCTTGGTGCATACGATCTATATGCTCCAGCTTGAGGGGGAGTGTTGTTGTACATAGTATAGAAGTCCCACATTGAGTGTGTCTCTTTGTATTCTTCAATTGGTTTGCTATATAATAGCACCAATGTTGTGTAGTTTAATATAACAAGGATTACAATGAATACCTCTTGTCTCTTGGTGATTAACAATATGAATATCTGTTTACTTTTCTGGTTGACCAACATCCTGGTAACATATTGATTATTTAGACGTTAAATGACAACAAATATTATGCTGTTTTGAAGAATACCATTTGGAGAAGATATGGAATAAATAAAAGACTTTTTGTTTTTGTTTCATAGTTCAGTTCATTGACTGAGTTAAACTACTTGGATATGGCAGATTATTTCAGCCAGATATTATTTTTGTTGAGAAGGATTCATGGGTTTCCGGAGAGGATGGGTACTACAATGTGTGGCAACTGGACTGGAAACAGAATGGGCATATGTTTAAGATGCCTCAAATGATCCTTCTTGCGACCAATATCAGCAATGCTGAATTTGATAAAGCTAAAAGCGCAGGTTTTAGTGACACAGTGATTATGAAGCCTCTGAGAGCTAGTATGGTGGCTGCTTGTCTTCAACAAGTTCTGGGGACGGGGAAGAAGAGGCAGCTAGGGAAAGACATGTCTAATGGTTCCACTTTTGTACGAAGCCTTCTTTGTGGAAAGATCATCTTAGTGGTTGATGATAATGCAGTAAATCGGAGGGTTGCTGCAGGTGCTTTAAAAAATTTTGGAGCTGATGTGAAGTGTGCAGAAAGTGGCAAAGCTGCTCTTGAAATGCTTCAATTGCCCCACGATTTTGATGCTTGCTTCATGGATATTCAAATGCCAGAAATGGACGGGTATGCTTGTTTTCATGGATATTCCCTGCTTAATATTATTGTATATATTACTACTATTTGAAATTTTTGCTGTATTATTTGAATATAATCTAAGATTGTATGCATTTTCTTTAATCAGAAACTAATCAATTAAAAGTGTTAACATGGTAGCTGCTGTGTTAATATGAAATCTTTTGCAATTTATATGCATTCAACTTGGTTGGCTAGTTGAGGCTTATCGACTATAGTATTGGTGTGGGAAGCATCATAACTTAATATATGGTTTTTATTGGTCTTTGATTGCTATCCTTATCTCTGCAAATAAACTGGCTAAAGTGAATGATTAAATATAGCAATTAACAAACTATCTTTTTAAACCTTACGATTCCCTATGAACCTTCTTGTTATTGGCTCTGGCTCTGCCATCCAAGGAATGATGTCACACTACTAACTCTTCATATATTTGAGATATGCATGGGATTTGATAAACCATCTAAATAAATATTACAATGTTTGCAGGTTTGAAGCAACTCGACGAATTAGGATGATGGAGAGCGAGGCAAATGAGGAGATGAATAGTGAATGGGGTGAAGGAAATGGCAGGAAAAGTGAGTTCCATGTACCTATATTGGCCATGACAGCTGATGTAATCCATGCTACATACGATGAGTGCTTGAAATGTGGGATGGATGGATATGTCTCAAAGCCTTTTGAGGAAGAGAATCTCTATCAAGCACTTGCAAAGTTTTTCAAGTCCAAGCCTATCTCAGACTCTTGACAGAAGAATGCTGCTTCTGCGCACAACTTCATTGGAACTGGCATTTTTTCATATTTTGCTGGGTAATTAATGCTTTCATGCAGCAGACAGCAACAGCTGATTTCCAAGATACTTGACGATTCTTGATGCACTGATGATTTCTAACCAGCTCAAGTTTGACCGGACACGATTTGAATCTGAGTAAAATTTATACCTCATAACTCTCTCCATCCCCAACTTGTGTACAGATTCTCTTAAGGGATGACGAAAATTATGTAAATTCAATATTTTTCTTTTGCATTTCAATACTTCCCCTGTCAGAAGTGTTTATCTATAGTACTTTTTTGAAGGTATGAAAACACAATATTGGTTTCATTTCTTTTAACATGTCTCTTTTGGACAAAAATAATTTGACCTTAAAAGTAGACAATGCATAAAATCTAGTACAGTATCAAGGAACAATTCTCTCTACCACAACATTCTATTAAATTTGAAGCATGAAAAATTGCATAAAACAATGGGAAACATATTTTATGATATTTGTTGCAACACACAAAAAAAGTGAATATGATTCACTAAATAAGAGTTAAAAAAAAAAATGGATTTCCAAATACTGACATTTTAAGACAAAGCTTAAAACAAACACATTACAATAAGTAATAAAGATTAACGAACTATCCCTGCTTGTTTTATGATGTGTTACACGTTTCTTCAAAGATATGAAACTTTGCCACGTGGCTATCACACGAGCAATCTAGAATGCCACTTGTCAAGATTTGGTTCCAATTACAGTGACGAGGCTAGTGAAGACTGTTTCTATATATATAATGTAATCGTTATTGATTAGCGCAGAAACATAACGTGATAAAAATGGCACACTATCAGAACCAGTACGGTGCTGTTCCTATAAGCAAGGATTCAGTTCAGAAGGAAATGGAGACCGCCGGAGACACCACCGGCGTTGGTGGTGGCACACAAGTCTTGTCAGATGAATATGGTATTGGTAGAGCCACCGCTGACAGTACTAGCGGTGTGGGTGGTGCATCCTATGCAACGGATGAGAACGAGCACCATCACAAGAAGAAAGGAATAATGGAGAAGATAAAGGAGAAACTTCCTGGAACACACCACCACAACAATTAATAGCATCATGGTTATGTATGTTATGTTGCCATATATAACTAATAGTGTGTATTAATTACTTACTTACTCTCATGTACTGCTTTTTTTTTTAAGAATAATAAATCTTTTACTTAATTTTAACGGTTTCGAGTATAAAAAGTTATACCGGTGTAAATTGATTTTGTCGGGAGTGAATTTTTTCACGTGAAAAAGTAGTCATGTTTTTTTTTTATCACAACCATTCATTCATAATGAGATAAAAAAGAGAAAAAAAGAGAAAAGTATATAATTTTTGAATGAGTGATCATCATCAAAAAAAACATGACCACATTTCAAGTGAGAGGATCCACTTCAAGGAACAAGCAGGAGGCTACAATTAATTAAATATGAAAGACACTCTAAATGAATAAGATAGGCTCAAAGGTTTAATGAAATTTTGTGGGCTGGTCAAAGAGCAATTAATTATAATCAAGTTATCTACCATATGACACTATAAACTAGGAGTATATTCTCTCTTTTTTATAATTATTCATGGCAAGTCAACTACGCTGATTTTATCATTCCTTATTCTCTCTCATTTTTTTTTTTTTTCTCGTCTTTTGATCAAAGAGCAATTTAATTTAGGCAATATCAGTAATAGAAAAATGTCAAAAAAAAACCATCTGACCCCTTGTGATGGATCCTAAATTAACACACGTGACAATGACGACCGGGTTGGATAGAACCGCACTTTTAGAACGTTTGATTCGCATAACAGAACAAAAAATAGTTAAATGAGAAAATTAGGCTTTGTTTGATAACTGTTTTCAAAAAGCACTGCTGTGTCTGCTCCCTGTGAATCCTTGAAGGTAACATATGCAATCTGACTGCTCCTCTCAGTTTCCCTGCAAAATTACCACGAAAGATATTGAACCAACCAGCAATCACTGTATGCTCTCAATCTAAGGGCAAAACAGTATAGCCACAACAATGAAAACATGCTAACGAGCTAAGCATGGTTTCTTAAGGCATTCCTTTTCATAGCGTGTTAATATAACAGATCCAGTAGAATAGACCAAGTACAACAACAAGGACATTATGCCCTCTGATGCACTACATTGAGAAACAGAGTGGACTTGAGATTCATCAAAAAACCAGAATGCATTAGCTGTTTCAAAGGTAATAAAGGAGCCATTGAGTAGCAAATGAAATGACATGTAAAATACAAACAGAGAAGAAACACCACATAAAGCCCCTGAATTCCAGTATAAAATACTGGAGAAAATAATTAACATTATTTGAATTAACTTGTCACTGCTTCAAGACGAGCATATCTTACAACTGCAAAAGCTAAATCATCTGTGATTTGAGGTTATATCACAATTTTTTTACAGAAAAAATGGCATATCAGGGTCAATAAGCAAAGGCATCCTTATGTATCAACAAGGGCAGTGGGGCACCGTTCAGTTAAAAGAATAGTTTTGAAGAATTAACCAAAATAACCAAAAAATTCTCAAAATCAGCAGACACATTTTGTCAAATTAAACTGAAATTAGTCTTCTTAGAGTCTGCTACTGTGACAGGCATGCAATGCAAGCATAATACTGAAAACATAATATGGATTCCTGGATCATGTGTTCTGCTATCATAATAATAAGCAATGTTATTGTGTAACAATTTCTTCCTTACATTAATTGTCCAATATGGGGTAGCTATAGATGGAAGAATAGCATCAACACCTTGATCTCTACCCCAGTAATGATACTCGGTATCGTCTCGTGGAACTTCACCTCTGCGATTGCCATAACAAATCACAAATCAAATCTTTATTTGTTTTCCTTATTAATAATAATTTTTATTTTTATTTTTAATTTAAATCACAAACCAAATTTTTATTATAATAAAAAAATTACTATAAAAAAAATTTAAATCACAAATCAAAATTTTATTTATTTTTTATATTAAATCACAAACCCAGAACTCATAGGCTTCTGAGTTTAACCGCTCTTATAATACCATTCTTGTAAATTTAAATTGTTTGTGAGAAATATAATATGTCAAATGAGATGTCATTGCGTAGATCTCGAAAAGTTATGTGGAATCAAAAAAAGAATTACCTAATTTCGATACCCGAGTCAAAAGTCATGGCCTTTAGAAGTTTTATGATTAAATCATTATTTTTTTGGAAAAAAAAATATGACACGTGTCTACACCTAATAAGTGACGCCTAAATTAGGCGTGATTGTCTCTTGAGTGACACCCAATGCAATAAATGTGTAATTATTTACAAAACTGTAATAAATGCGTAATTAATTTATTAAAAAACATTAACTTAATATTTTTGCCTCACATTTGATACATGAAACATAAAAAAAAATGGAGGATAGGACCATTACTACTTTTAAAAATGGTAATTTTAAAATGAAATCACATTCTATTGTTTAAAATTAAATTAAATTTGAATAACATAAATGTGCTTGTGAGAAAAATAAACAGGATTAATTTTTCTTGCGTATATTTTTTAAATTTAATTTTTAATAACGTTAAAAAAATGTTAGTCATTGAAACAGAGCAGCACTGTTTTATCCAGGAAGAACATTAAGCACCAAATCAAGAAGAAAACTTCTTTTATGAAACAACTGGGATCACTGGTTCGTTCTTTTTGTCTTTTGATATAAGTAAGACACGTTCAAAACAAAAAATTTGAATCCTCCAGACTAAACAAGAACAATTGAACAAAATTATCCAACATTCGTAAAAGACTATGGCTTACATACTTACCCGACATTCTCTCGACAATTGCTGCTTACACCTAAATTTCAGAAAAGCAATAAAAAATTAGGGAACTCCAAGAGTTAAGGTACATTCGGATACCTAAACCATAAGAATGATTGTGGCTTACATACTTATCCAACATTGATCTCTCGACAATTGCTTCCAACCTTTAGTCCACATTGATAGATTCACCACTTGACTCTGCTGCCTTAGACTTAAGACTAGTGTATTCATCTATGGCTTTAGCTGAAGATAGAAGAAAATAAACAAAATGTCCATTAGAAATTATTATGTTTTAACTGTAGCTTGAAATTGATTTATATCAACAACATTATTTTTAAGTTTATTAAAATGAAATAAATCAAACCAATAACAAGTAACAACTGAACCAATTTCACCAGTCAGAATCCTGGGAAACAGCAAACAAAGGACCAGCTCCAAGGGCATAAGATAATGAGTCATTAAGTTCACCCAAGTAATAAAAGATCTGAATATCAACGAGTGCAACAAAATTAGATCATAAAAGACAAACCATGAGACCAACTTCAGTATCTACGAATAACAAATTATGGGAGTGAGAAAACATATCTCCCCTGGTGATGGCTATAGAAGCTGTGTTAAAAATCAAAAGGGGTGAAAGCCAATCTTTATTTCTTAAGTCTCAAAATATAATGAAAAACAATGTTTTTTGAAAATTATTAAGGAAATTGTCTTTACTGATATCAAATCAGAAAAGATATGAAAATGTTAATCACTTATTTGGACAGCTATTTATTTGAAAGATAATTATCTTTATCGATATTAAATCTTTAAATAGCTGAAAGTTAATTATCTTCACCGATATTAAATCTTTAAAGATACAAAAAAAATAATTAAAAGAAATAAACCGATTTACACATATATTAAAAGATTACCTCCTTATTTAACAAAAAAAAAGAAAAGATTACCTCCAATCTCGGAAGATTTTAATTCTGATGATCACTATAAATTGATCAGAAGCCCATCACTCACTCACTCACTTGACCGTGTTACATAAACCTTAAACCAACCATCTTTTGCTTGCTCTCTTCCAAACCCACCGCCGAAACAGAAACCTTCAACTTGTGCTTTGCCACCATGACTGAGAGGGACAACAAAACTATGTGGGAATTGGTGGGGAAGATTACAGATTGGGAGACGCGTCAAAAGATGTCTTCCAAACCCTTTAGGCCTCACTTTTGTGATATACTTCTTTCGCGCGTTGCACCACAGTTTTATAACGATGAAGAATTGGCTCTGATTAAGAATTGTTTCCAAGAAGAGGATGAAGAGTTGCAACAGCAACAACAGCAACAAGGAGAGGCGTCAAAGACAAAGCCGCCAGAAAAAGAGAAAGAGAAAGAAAAAGAGAAAGAGAAAGAAAAGAAAAGAAGGCGTGAAATGCTTGATGACGATGAGGAATGGCGCCCCACTCCCTCGTCGCTGAATAATAAAAAATCAAGAAAGACAACAAAGAACAATGCATCGTCGTCTTCATCACCGCCAACACCATCACCGCCACAGTCCTCACCAACCCCACCGGTTCTACCTGAGGAATTCAAGAACCATATGAGAGAGCTGAACGGCGGCGGCAGCGAGATGCAATTTGTGATGAGCAAGAATCTCTCCAAGACAGATGTGAGCGCCAAGCACAACCGTCTATCGATGCCTCAGTCAGAAATATGTTGTGATTTCTTGACTGAGGCTGAGAAGGCAACCTTGCATGAGAGGGAAGGAAGGCTTCTTCGGGGTGTGGAAGTGAAGGTGTTGGATCCATCTTTCAGGGAACATACTTTGATACTCAAGAGGTGGGAGATGACAAGTACAAGCATTTACTCTCTCAACAAAGAATGGAAAAGCGTCGTCTCTCAAAACCGTTTGCAAGAAGGAGACCAACTTCAAATCTGGTCTTGTAGAGTCGATGCCCAATTATTTCTTTTATTAAATAAATTAATCTGATCTCTGATCTGATCAACAATTTCAATTCAAAGCACAGTGTCTTTAGTGACAAAGACACACTATTGTCTGTCTGTCTGTCCACGTAACGTAGGTATATTAATATAGGTGAGGTGATTAGTGATACATCAGGGAATGGATTACATGTTTTTGAGATTCTATTTTCGTTCTTTTCCGTCCGTTGCTTTTCCATGATCAGTTACAGATATAAAACGACAAATATTGCTCTCTCTTTTTAATAATTAAAATTTATTATTTGTACATTACTTTTTTATATTAATCAATAAAAGCAG